ACTCGCACAGAGCAATGCGATCTGGACGCTGGCTGGCAGTATTATTTGCTGCAGTCGGAAATAACTCAACCGCAAATGAGATAAATTGCGCGCACACAGATAATTGCATGGAGGCCCCCAGACGGCGTTGTGGCATGGAAATGAAATACATTGCACATACGCCGCGTTGCCGCGTTTTTTTCCGTCCTCTGTGAGCTCTTTGCAATTTTTATGCGAGTGTGCGTGTGTGCGAGTGTGTGTCCCAAAGCAATCGGCATGTTTGTGACTCTCCTGTGTGTGCGTGGGCTTCCTTTTTCGGCCGCTGTGCAAATATTTATGTGGTTGCAAAAACACCGACACTCCGATGGACGTGTAATGAGAAAATATTACGCATACGCAGTGTGCGCCCATTAAAGGCGATCGCTGATGGCACTCGCCCGGTAAAATAGCTAGCTGTAGTTGTATTTACAATGGGAATAATTCAGCATGGCTCCCTTATGCAAATCAATTTGACTTAACAAAATTATTCGCCTCCATCGCAAGCTAATTTTTCGGTTCGTTTAATCGAGTGGAAGCTCTGAGTGCCTGTTTTTATTCCCCCCTCCGCAATTCCACGAACTTCGGCAAGAGTTTCTTTGCCCAGAACTTTCATTTAAATACGAGCGTAAATAGTTTTTATATAATTGTAGTTATGTACTTTACGGTACTTGCGTAGTAACTTTGCACGAGTTTGATTTGCAAAACGAAAAACAGAATGCAAAACTGGGCCGGCGATTGCGATTAATTAAAGTTGAGTTTGAAGTACACTCGAAAAATTCGCTATCTTTATAGGATGCATACTCGTACGCTTACTTTCGAATACATATAGTATAGTACACTTGACGGATATACATACACGTACATTTAGGAGAACGCTTAACACGGATGTTTAATTGATTTAACTATAAATTTGATTTATGCTGCTTCAATGTGTGTGTCCTTCGCTAAGATTGTGACTAATAAGTGTAGGCTTTGTTCTAGGCTAAACACGAGTTGCAAGTTCATTATCCTTATCTTCATCCATATCTCTGTCAACTTTAATTGAATTGTTGCATTATTGTCGTAGTTTACGGTAATTTATCTCCTAGCATAATCAAGTGGATAAGCATCTTTCTATGCAAAACGATTTAACTATACCCTCTGATATGATGCGAATAATTGGCTGTTCTTCTGCTTTTTCCCCTCGTTTTCCTTTTCCCCTCTCCGTTCTGCATATATTACACACTCCTTATCTGTACACACGAGTCCTAATCAGCGTAGAAGCAAATGTGCCAATTTGTAATTGTAATTTTTGGCAGGGCAAACAAATAGAGAAGGAGAACTAGCAATTCCCCCCCGATCGATGGATAAACCTCCCTCTGCGCTAACACTCGTACTCTAGTATGAAGCCCTCCCCCTTCGAAGTGGACCTCGAATGTTGCTGATGTGGCAGCAACAGCGGGGCAGTGGTTGCTGCCGCTCCGCCGGACGATGTTGCTGCTATTCCCGATGTTGCTGCTGTCGCTGCGGCCGCTCTGCCTAAATTTACTTGTGACAACATTGCGGTGGCCGTTAATTTGCCATTGTAGGCGAGGGCGGGCGTCAAACTGGGCGTGGCCCCGTGCCCGTAATAGTTGAGAGCGGAGGTGAGTGGCACCGAATTCTGCTGTTGTTGCTGATGCTGCTGCTTGCCACGGCGATGTTGCTGCTGGTGTTGCTGCTGCTGCTGTTTGGCCATATAATCCTGCGTGCTCGAACTCGCAGCGGAATTACGCAACGTTATGAAGGTGTCGAAGTTGTCGGCGGTCGAGGAGGCATTCGAGGTGCTCGAGTTCCGGCGGTTGCCCAAATGTTGTTGCTGCACTTTGGGCGCGGTGGGTTGCAGGTTAGAATTCAGCTTCAGTTGCTGGTGTTGCTGGTGTTGCTGTGACATTGATGAGTTCGATGAGGAGGAGTTGGACAGCGAGGAGGAGTTGACGGAGTGCGCGGGCGGGTGTTGCTGCTGATTCGCATAGTATTTGCGCAGATTCTCCAGCATGAAGCGATTGTTTGCATTTCCGGCTGAGCTCCCAGCAACTGATGTTGTTGCTGCCGCAGCTGATGTTGCTGCTGCTCCTCCTCCTAATGCCGCAGGCTCTGGCTTTGGCTGATGGAACTGCGATGTCCCTGCGGTCGTCAGTGTTGGCATCGTTATCTGCTGCTGCTGCTGCTGTTGCAGTTGCTTGCTGCTGGTGGCATAAAGGACATCCACGCTCTGCGCCGGCAGCGCCAAATTGATGACACTGCCGGTTGCAACTGGCACTGCGGTGGCTGCCACAGCCTGCTGTCGCTCCCGCGACCTGCCCTTCGTCCTGCTGCGGGCGTAGTGGGCCTCCATGAGGTCCGCCCTCCGCTGCCTGGCCACCGCATCCGGCTGCTCTCCTCCGAATCCGTAGAACTCGCCCCGCTGGTAGAGCGACGAAGCGGAGGAGTCTCCTCCTCCCCGCTCGTAGTTTCCCCTTCCCCTCTGCCGCTGGAAGTGCTCCAGGTAGCTCTCGCCGCCCACCAGCAGGCTCTGCTCCTCCAGGGACACCCCCTCCTCCGCCTCCTGGCGCTGCAAGTGCTGATTGAGCGACTGGTAGAATGTGCTCTCGGCCAGATTCTCATTATAGGATGTCGCGTTCGCCGGCTGCTGCTGCCAATCAGCGTCCTCGCACTCGTTCACGCTGACGCGGATGCGAATGTCGCGGGCCATGTAATCCGGCCTGCCGGCTGTCGCCCCCACCTCCAGTCCCTCCTCCACCCGCTCCTCCTCCCCCGCCTGCCCCTCCTCCTCGTCGTCGTAGAAGAATCTCGCTGACTTGGCGCTCTCCGCCAGCAGAAGGTCCTCGCTCTCCTCCAGAGCCATCGCGTAGCTCGTTAGGTTGTCGAAGTAGTACTCGCACATTTTGTCCGGGTGCTCGTAGCGCAGCTTGAAGTCCTTCTGCTCCTCCTCCGCCTCCCGCTCCTGCTGCTCCGCTTCCCTCCGATTCGAGGTGGGTCCACTGAACACGGAGGCGTAGTCGGAGCTGCTCATCGAGTCCGAGTTCAGAGCTGAGCTCCGCACCTTCGACTTGGCCGCAATCGGAAGAGTACCGAGGTTCTCGTAGTTGGCTCCATAATTTGCCGCCTGCGATTGACTCCGCTTGTGCTTGAGTTGCCGAGGAGACTCCTGGGCAGGATCGGGCTGCTTGGCCAGGGCTCTCCGCTGGGCTCCACTCACGCGACCCACGGAGTGCGCCGACTGCTTGGTGCCGCTCAGCTGGTGGTCGAAGTTCTGCTCCAAGTAGGCGTCCAAGTAGTGCAGGTTCTTGCTGAGATCGATCTCCGACTTGTAGCTCTTGTAGATGGTGGCCTGTTTGCAGCGGGATTCGTAGCTGGAGATATGTGCCCTATCACTTATAAAGCGGAAACTTTCATCTTTAGCCAGGGTGTGAAAGCCACTGAACTCGGAACCACCCAGGGATGCTCCATCCGCAGTGTTCGTCTTGAAGTTGCGGCACTTGTCGCGTATCTTCTGGATTCCCTGCCTCGTTTTGGCCTGCAATCGCTCGAAGTAATTGGCTTTGGTGACTGGAGAAGTGGAGTGGTTCAACCTGGGGTGGTAGGCGGTGGTGTGCTGGATGTCATAGCCACCGCCTCCAGTGGCCCGCATGCTCTGGATGCTGTGCGTCCTGTTGGGGTAACTCAGCTTGAGTTTGGGCAGCGAGGGCGGATCCTCGACTGCCGCTCGGTGGTGCAACTTCCTCAGCGAGAGCTGCTTGAAGATGGCCCTCGATCGCTTGGGTTTGCCACTGGCCGTGTTCGTCCTCCTGCCCAGCAGATCCCCCGAGTCGTTGTCGAAGTCCTGGCGCTCGAAGCGTCTCACCGGCACTCCGTGCAGATAGTGGTGCTCGGAGGGGGGATTCGGATTGCGGCTGCTCTCGAAGAGCCTCCTCAACCCGCGATTCTGCCTGGGGGGGACGGGAGCTCCTGGCACTGGCCGCATTCCTCAGCCGCGTGTTCACACTCAGGGTGAGGATCTCGTCGTCGTGGAATATGGAGAAGGGGTTCGTGATCACCGTGGAGCTGTCGCCCGTCTGATTCGCCGCGGGGCTCATCAGGCTGCTTACCGATCTAGTCTTAAGGCTACTAACGCTACTCCTACTCCTACTCCTACTGGTACTCCTACCCCTACTGCTTATGGCTACCTCCTGCTGCTGCTTCTGCTTACTCTCTAGTACAACTACGACTTTGGCTTCACTGTGCTGCTGCTGCCGCCCAGTCGCACCCGCCACCTGGCCGAGATCCGTTTCGGATCGGGATCGGGAGCGGAGTGGCGGGGCGGCGGCGAGCCTGATCCTCCGCCGCAGCTCCTTCAAGGAGTTGCTCTGCTTGCGGAAGCGGTAGAAGGGATTGTTGATGCTCAGCTTCTGGAGCAGCACCTGGGTCTCCTCGGGGGTCAAGGGACCCACTGGGAGGATGACCGGGGGAGCAGCATCTTGCTCCCCGCTCACCACGTTCAGGTGGAGCAACTTGGCAGCCGTCGAAGGTTTGGAATCCCTATTTAGGTTCATGTTCATGTTGTTCTCCAGCTGATCCCGCCTGCTGCTCCTGCTCTTGCTGCTAGTCAGCGAACTGTTGCCCTCACTGCTCTTGCTGCTGCTGCTGCTGTCGCTGCTGCTCTTGGCCACCTCCGAGGTGGTGTTGTTGTTGTCGCTACTGGTCAGCCCATTGGGCGATGTGGAACTGACCTTGTGGTTGTTGTTGTTGTTATTGTGGCTTACATTACTGTCATCAAGTTCGTTCGTTTGTTCGTTGTTATGTGTGTCATGGTGTTGTTGTTGTTTCTGTTCCTGTTCTAGTTGTTGCTGTTGCTGTTTTTGGTCTGTCAGTTCGTGTTGCTGTTGCTGTTGCGTTGGCTGTTCGTTGGATTCACTAGTGGAGGTATCAATTGCCTGCTAGACCCTAGTGGGCGGTTGTAATATCATTGCAGCCATGCGTACCTTCATTGCCTCCGGCGATCCGTGTCCCGGGTACTGTTGTTGCGGATGCTGTGATGCGGCATGTAAAGCCGCTGCTGCTGCCGCTGCTGCGTGTTGCTGCTGCTGCTGTTGTTGCTGCTGCTGCTGCTGCTGTTGCTGCTGCTGCTGCTGGTGATGATGGAAGCCCGCGGGCGTGGTGTAAATCGAATCACCTTGAGGGCCACTCGTGCTATCCGAGCGTGATTTCAAATCAGCTTTTTCGCTGCGGGCGAGAAGAGCAGAGGGAAAAGAGGACAAGGATGAGAAGGGGACACTAAATCGTTATCGAAAATTGTTTGCCCAAGTGACAATTGTGTGGGTGGTGGCTAAGTGGTTGGGCGGTTGTGTGGCTGCCATCGCTGATTGGCAAACTGTATCCCTCTCGCATATCTGAACATCTATTTAGTTTTTGTCGCCGCCTCGCCTCGCCGCAGGCAATTGTTTACTTGGGGTTTAGGAAATTAGATATTCCCCTTGCCCTATTTCCTCCCCCTGGAATTACTTACGGGATGGGACTAGAGAAATTCAGCCTACAAAACGAATTTTGGCCTAAACGCACTCGAAGCGGAAATTCAAAATCCATTTCCGTTCTCTTTCTCATATTGATCCATTCTCTGGAGCTTCGAGCTGTTGTGTGTATAGTTTGATAAACAAAATATAGTAATTTTAAAATCCCAAACAATGGAGGGAGAAAGGCGAATAACCGAAACGACCGCCCATAACTCATACTTTTGGGTGGCGAATTGCAACAATGAGCGATAGGTTGTGCCCTCTCTTCCGGTTATTTCTATTGGAAACAAAGAATTATTCATATACCCTTTGGATTCGTAAAGGAGTACGAACTGAAGGTTGCAATACATGCTACTTTCAAGGAAATGCAATTTCTTTTGTTTTAACAGATAGACAGATATAACCCTAAATGAATTTGTTTTCTTTTTTAAAGTTCACTCTTAGCATTTATACACCTACCAACCACATCTCTAGCTAGAATTAGGATTCCATTTAACAGATTTTAGTGATTGCTAATCCTTTTTACTTTTGCAAATCTCCTGTCAGGGTATTTCAGCTTTTTCTTGCCAAAACAAAAATGCTCGCTCCTTTCACCCGACGAATATATTGAATATATGAAAAATGTATAATATTTTATGTCCCGCACACACACACATGCACGTGCAATGGAAAACATTTTTCATTGTTCCAATGCTGTACGTGTGTGTGTGTTTGTGTTGGTGAGCGAGTTCCTGTACTCGGCCAGTAGGGGCGCATAAATTGGCACGCCAGCGCCACCTGTTGGCTGCAGGATGCGGCTGCATAAAAATATATCAAAATGGTCATTTATCTATGGTCCTTTCTCCCTATTTCTGTGTGTATATACGATGCGAGAGTATGTGTGTGTGGGTAGGGAAAGGGTGTGTACGTATTACGCTTCAACTTACCTGTCTTTATCCGATGATTTATAGCCCGTGGAACCTGTGCCATGCGAGAAGCGAAGGGAGAAATAAGGGGGAAGTTTCGTATTAGAGTTTGCAATATTCAGGAATATAAATTCCACCCATTATTCTGTAAAGGGTGTGGTCGTGTGACTGGTTGCAAAATAGTAGAAATTAGCTGTGAAAATACCGCTGGCAATTTACAAACAGACAGTTAGACAGTCGGATATATATTCTTTTTATTGCAGATACTCGCCCTTGGATTCGCCGTGATAAATGAGCGAGGACTTATTGATTGCGAGGAACGTGTAAATTCCCGAGGAGGTGCTTGCAAATTTTGATGGATCTCGAAGGGTTAGGGCTCCTCAGCCGGAGCCAGAGCCGGAGATATATGTGCCGCAGTATCGGGTGGCACTCGAGAGATCTGTCAAACGGCATTTGACAACTGGAAGGCAGCTGCAGCAGTCAGTCAGCCAGTCAGCCAGTCAAATTGACAGCTTGATTGACAACTGAGAAATTGCGATTAGGTGGCTGGGGCTCAGCCCGAAAGAGTGTTTACAGATCGCGGGGATGTGTGACTGCAGGAGCGGCTGGAACGGCTCGAATGTCCTTCAGCAATGGCAAAGTTTTCCCCTTGCTCCTTGGCAAATTGTTTTACAATTGTAAAAAGTTTCGCCGCTTTCTGTCTGCGTTTTGATTTCTAATTAGGCAGCGCGCTTTGGCTTAAAGCCATTTCCCGCAAAAGGACGAGGAGATGGAAATGTTGGCGCAACTAACCAAAAGCCGCCTCGAAACCCTTAACCCTTTTGTGTGCTCAGAAGGGCAGAGGCGAGCGGAGGCGAGGAAAACAGGAAACGGAGACTGACCGCAGGCGTTGGACGCTAATGAATATTTTATGAGATTTATTTGAGTTTCGAGTTTCAAGGAGAATGGAATGGCGCAGCAAAAAAAAAAACGAAGGCCAACACAACACACACAAAGCGAAAAAGAGACGCATCCATCCTGGCAGCCATTTTTTCCGCCATGACCACCGCCTCCTTCTCGCATTTCAATGCTTTGTGAGCTGGCAAGTTTTTGTGTTTTTGCAATTAGTGTGACAGCGGCCTTGGGGGTTTCGTTGGCTGGGGTTGGGGTTTGGGGTTGGGTTCTGGGAAGGGGGAAAAAACAGGCGCCATAATCAAGGAGGAAGTTTTAATTGTCGCGGCCTTGACAGCACTGCCTGTGCAATTAATACGGGCCCGATGATTGTTCCTAGATGGTTCGTTTTTCGTTTTTTTTTGGGGGTGGAAGGGAGGAACTCCTCCCCTTTCAACTTACCCTTGAAGCAGCATCTCTTGCTCTTGATCGCATAGATACACAGGCAAACCAGCAGAAGGATGGCTGCCATGCAGCCCCCGGCCACGCCCATCAAATAGCTCATCTCGTAGGGTTCTGTCCGGAAGTTCCATTCGATTCGATACACGGATTGGTGTTCGATGTGCAGGTGGTGGTGGCGATTATGCAAGCATTAAGGGGAATTTTCATTTTCATATGTACGAGATATTTATTGCAATGCATGTATTGCATGTGTGATTGGTTTTAATTAAAAGCATGCGGGATGTGACAATGTTTAATGAGTTCCCTGGTGGTGTATTTCATTTATCATTTCGGTTCGGAAAAAATATGTCATTAAATAGATTTTTTATAAAAATGTAGAATTCTGAAACATTATATCCTTGTCAAATTGGAAAGAAATATAGTTGAAATGGAATATTTGATTTTCGTTGTTGAGATTTAAGTTTTTCTTTAATTACTCTCTGATAATACTTTTTAAAATAAACTTACTAGTTGGGTTATTACTTAATTGGTTTTCAAGCCAATTTACTTCAGCTAAAGTGCAGGTTGAATGGGTTTTGGGAGCGTAACTCAAGTGTGAGGTTCGTGTTGTAGGCAGGGATGATGACGTGGGTGGGGGGCAAAGAAAATCAAAGAAAAGTCTATGCACCTGCAAACGTACCCTCCACAATCAGGTGAATGGCGTGACGATCGGTGCCCCGCTCGTTCTCCACCACCAAGTAGTAGGGCCTCGAGTCGTGCTCGTCCGTGTGAAGGATGTGCAGGGTGGACAGGTAGCAGTCCTCCCTCGTGTCCGGCTGCATGTCGTCGGCCCGGAAGCGATCTGCGGGGAAAAAAGAAGAAGTAGAGTAGAGGAGAGTCAGGAGAATCCTTGTTACTGCGCCAATTGCGAATTGGCTTAGTGGGCTAAGTAATTGCACTAGAATTGCACACAATTTGTCGGCGGCCGACATTAATCATTCGATTCGATGGGCCAACTAGCTTCTGAAAACTCTGAGAAAAGGACGCGCGGAAAAGGAGGGCGGATTGGACGGGAATGCGCTCCGTTTGATTTGTGTCAGTGGCAGTGAAAGCACGCAGGATTACACGCACGAAGGACGACCAAGGATGGACACGGGCAGACAAGCTGAAAATGAAGAATAATGCGACCCAAGGACAGTGTTGCCAGCATACACGTTTCGGTATACTGCTCTATTAAGAAGTAGGTCACACTAGAAACAATTTCTTAAAGCTGGCAGTATTTCCTTTAAAAGAATTATTTATAAGTTTGTAATTCAAGTGATTAATTTGCTAATTATTTACTGTAATTATAATCACAATAATGAACGAATAAGCTGTTTAATCTTTGTTTCTTTAATTAATTTAATTTACCAATTTTCTGGTAGACTTATAGCTGGTAATCGATAGCTGGCAACTCTGGCCGGATGTGATGCAGTTCAAGTTCATGGAGGGTTGGAGAAAGGAGGGGATAATGCAGCTGCATCCGCTGGAGGATGTTCATCCCGAAAGAGTTTCAGCTGGAAAATGAGCTGGTGGTGTGTGTTGCCTGTCTGTTGAAGCTCGGATTACCGGCGGCTGACAGGCGTGGGAAGTCTGCTGGAGGCACTGCCCCTTTCTCCAACCCCTTATGACCGCCTTACCGACCCCCCTTCTGGCCCTTTTGCAACATCGGACATGACACTGGCAGTTTCTTGTCCGACTCTGACTGCGCTCGGTCATGTAATTTGTCTTGATTTGCGGAACAACCCCTTGGTCGCGATTGTTCGGATCGGAGCGAGGCAGTTTTGCGGGAATGGTTAATCTAATGAGCCCTCAAGCGGGAAGGCCATCACTCCGCGTCCTGTAAAGCGGCGCTAATTGAATTGCGAGTAGGCAAAACTAAGTCCAGCGCCTAATTGCATTACCATTAGCGGTCGCCAATGGGGCGGATGAGTGGATGGTTGGATGGATGGGTGGATGGGTAGATGGATGGAGGGTAACCGTCTGTCAAACAAGTATACGCACCGATGCCCGAGCCGGCCTCCAGACGCAGGGATCCCCATTCCCAGGCGACGCGCTGTGGCCGCGGATCCGCGCAGACGACCATTGTCAGGCTGGCCGCCTCTCCTCGCTTCACGGAGACGGTGTGCAGGGACGGATGGAGCCGCAGGACCTGCGGGGCACCTGGAAGGACAACGGAAACAAGGTGAAAAATGTATAAAGGAGTCGCGTCTAGTGCTGCCAGATGACTTTTTAATTGAGTTGCTGCGGCGCAACGCATTCGCCGAGCCGCCCTGTCGAAGATAATTATATAGAGTGGTTGAAGGGTGCAGCAGTGGCTTTAAATGGAAATGGAAGTAAGTTTAAAAATATATTCCCTTCTAGTCAAACAAAACATCTTGGTTAAGCTTTGAAAGAAACATCAAAAAAGAAAGTTTCCCTTTGATAAACTTTTCCTTAGTAACATCAAAATATATACTTATCATACGCTTGCTAAGAACTTCTGTTATTTTGTTTTAATATGTAAACTAAACAAATTTCTTAAAGTGTAATTATAAATCAAATCTTTTGGGAGTTTATTTATTTTTATATTAAAGCCATATATTTATCAAATAATGAGGCCTTGCTACTTTTCCCACTTTTTGACACTCTTTTGCGCTTTTATAGTTCGTTAGTTAGTTAGTTAGTTACTCTTCACTTACACACACACACACGTGGATCTTTATAAATGTGGTGGTGACTTTTTCTGTGTATAATGTGTATTGTTCGTGTGCATGTTTATTTTTGTGCATTTTTTTGCGTCCCCGGCTCTGCTAAATTGCTCGTGTCCTTGGTTGGTCATAAATTATGTACGTGCTGTGGTATTCAGCACTAAATTTAAATATTTCTTGCAGCTCTTTTTTTAGAGTTCTCCTTGCTTTTTTTTTGCCAGTTTGGTGTCCGGTTTTTCGCCCTCGGCAGTTGCAGCTCCATTTTTTTTCCGCTGGCGCTGCGGTCATAAGTTCATTTTGATTTTGTGCTACGTTTTGGTTTAGTCCGTTGCCCGTTTGCAAGTTGCCGGCCACCGCGAAATTGCACGGCGAGGGAAAGTGGCGGGGGAAAGTGGGAAAAGCGGAAAAGCGGCGAGGAGGTGGCAACGCAAGCGCTTAAAATGTTTTGCAGGCGCTTTCCGGCTGCAGCTTTTAATGGAGTTTTGTTAGTTGTTTTAAGTGTGCATTAGTTGCACGGGATCTGCACGGGGACAGGACTTAAATGAGTGGCCCGAGGCGGAATACGTTTGTTTTTTTGTTTTCCGGTTGCGTTGTCACCTTCTCTGGCACTGGTTTCCATTTCGGCCGGGCCAGAAATTGACATCGAAAAAGCAAGGAGAGCCGGGATTCAGATTTATGACCGCAAACGCGGTCCGTTCCTTAACCCTGGATACTCTTTTGCATCTGCCTCCCCGGATTCTAGAGTACGTATTCGGTGCGTGGCAGGTGGGGAAAAAAGTGCATGTTGCCGTGCTGTCGTCATATTTTGCGGCATTGCGGTTGCCGTGGCAGAGAACCCAGCAGATAGCAGATAGCAGATAGCATATAGCAGATACATAGATATGGGACTTACCCACAACTTGGAGGGACACCGGATCGGATATGGCCACCCGCTCCTGACCATTAATGTAGCTGGTTGCCCGGCACTCGTACTCTCCCTGGTACTCGTAGGTTACGTTGTCGATTACCAATCTGGACTCGGAGCCCCGCTCCACGTACTTGGATCCATGGGACATCCTGAAAGTAAAACGAAAGTATGTCAAGAGCTTGTTTATAAAATGAAATACTAAAAGTAAATTGAATTAAACTACATTTTATTGGCACAGAGAAGGATATTCTTTACATATTTTGTTTTATTATCTCTGATGGATTGAATATTCCTGGCGACAACGCATCCTCTTCCACTTTCAGATGGGAAGAGCAAGCAATTGATTATGATTATGTGCAACTAATAGAAGGATTCCATCTGGTCACGAACCATAGTCCTTGGTGCACACTCTGCAGTCCGTTCTTTGAGCTGCTTTCAATCGGGCCAAAATGAAACTGATGCAGAGGCCACATTCCCTCCTTCGATCTCCCCTTCCCCCTTTTCCCCATGTGTCCCGCTGTCCTGCTGTCCTGGTGCAGCAATCCTTGCTCGGCAATATTGAAAATTGCGTATGCGTATGAGTTATTTTTCGGCGCTGGCTGCCCGGACTCTCAGACGGACGAGTGAGTGGGCCAAAGAGCTGGCGCAGAGAAATATTTGATACATTTTTAATATGAGAAATGCCTTTCAAGCTGCGAAATGCTCTTGGCTCTGCCCACAGATTCTTTTGAGGGAGCCGCAAAGAGAGAAAAAAAGAACTGGTGATTCAGCCAGCACATTCACGCTTTAAGGCGCTGCCTTTAAGGACCTTTAAGTCCTTGGTCCTTGGCGGCCGTCAATTAAAAGCAATAAATTAGGAAGCCATTCAAATGCAAATCTCCAAAGTCGAAGTCGAAAAAGTTTGGCAAGCGCTCTTCTTTTCGGCTCCATTTCGATTCGGGGAGGTTTGGGGTTCGACGCTCCAGGGAGAGCGTTGAAATCACGTAAATCAAAGTGACAGGACTCCGTGTCCTGTGTCGTGTCCTTGGCTCGCTCATTTGCAAGGCGTCCGCCCATCAGCTGCACTTGCAGTACAACCCAAAGTCCAAGGACCAAGAACCAAGGACGAAGGACCACACCACCTGGGAGGAGATTAAGGAGCATACGTCGTTCGTCCTGTCAGCGGCTCACTTCGTGGCATTGATTTATTGCCCCAGTTGCCGCCGATGGGCGACTCCCGCTGTTTATTCAGCGCGGCACGCGCCATTTAATGCCGCATTCCGAAGGGTGGAAAATGGGGAGGGTGGGCGTGTTTGGGGAACATGCGTGGAAATTAGTTTTCAACAATTGACATTTAATTTCTGATAAACACGCGCGCGTTCGCTTCATTAAGTCAACACGTCAATGTGTTGCATGTGGCATTCGTTATTAGATGGCGACACCTTCGCCTAACAGCCATTCCCCCCTGCTCCTCCCCCTTCCCCTCATTCCCTTCCCTTTCTGAATTTCTATATTCCTATGTTATATATTCTCCCGATCACGATCTGCGATGGCGGTGTGTATGTTTTATGCCCGACTGTCTGGGGGCAAGTGCAAACAAATGGAATCACAAAAATCACGTACTTACGTGGCAGCTTCAAGGACCACTGAGGGCCAGAAAGAGATGGAATGCCGCCACAGAGAGAGAGATGGCACTATTGGCAGTCATATGCATGAGGAGTGTTTCGATTTTTCCACATCGTCTGCCTGCTTTGCATACTAATGCACGAGGCCATCAGCGGCGAAAGGAGAAGCGGAAGGATCCTAATCCTGCCAGCATTATGGATGGCTTCTTGATACCCTAACAAAGTGCGGCCATTCATCTGTGCTTGCTACATATATCCATAAAATAATAGAATGTTAGAAAGCTAATCTTCACTAACCAAACTTTAGCAAACTTGAATTTCTGTCTGAAAAAGCTTTTAGTTACAATAGTGAGTTCACTCCCACTTAACTTTTAACTAAAATGAAGTGTCCCATTCGTGTCTACTTCGAATGATAAATTACAGGGTACTTCAGCCACAGTATGTCAAAAAGCTTGCTTTTTTCCTTCGAGTTTTTCCTTGCCTCAGACAATTTCCGCCGAACAGCTAATTAAAATTACGCGAAATATCATCAGCTCTTGTGGCAATGGGCGTGGTGGCTTTTAAGCGGAAAATGTGCAACAGGAAACGTGCTCACGTAAGAGGAAAATGCTGTTCCTACAGGCGAGCAGTCTTAAAAGAAAAATACTCAGCCTTGGTTGCATTTGTTGCTAAAATCTTGTGAGTACGCGGAATGAGCCAAGTTTAATTAGCTCCGCCATTCAGCTGTAAACAATAAACACTGCCGAGACCACGAGGTCCATGTATTTTCAGCGAGGCCAGCCAGGATTTCCCATAAGCCAAGAAGAGGCCACCTAAAGTATGCTACACAAACAGCCAAGAATTTTGGTGGGATACCTATAAAATTTTATGCACACGGTGAGAAACAAAATTCTGAGAAATCGGAAAAAAAATTAGAATTTATCTGCCTTCTGGGAAATGTAGTTGGTTCTGGGAACTAAAAAAAAATACTTAAGTCTCCTGACGAGCAATAAAATGTTCTTTAAGGCTTAGTAGTATAATCTTTACAATATATATTTGATTGTGGGAACTAAAGTCAAATTCTTAGAATATACGTGTATAACCTTTCCTAATGGCAATGTTTTTAGCAATTTATTTGATTATTAACTTTTCAATACCAAACCTGCTCAGTGTAAGTATCTGTGTATGGACTCACCTCTGCACCCATTTGAAGGACGGCAGGGGATTACCGTCGGCCAGGCACTCGAAGGCGGCGGGACTGAAGAGCGGGGCGGTGGTGAGGCGGTCCGGGCCAGCTGAAATAATTTTGGGCGGATCTGCAGAGGAGCAAGAGAGGGCAAAGCAGAGTTAGTCGAAACTTTGTCCAGGGTAAATAGAGAGGGATACGTACACTTGACGTCCAACTGCACCGACAGCTGCTCCGAGGTGCCCACGGAGTTCTGCGCCTGGCAGGTGTACAGTCCGGCATCGCGCCGCCCGACGGGACGCAGTTGCAGGGTTTCCTGTGGGAGAAGCGGAGTGGAAAGCAGTGGGATAGGATAAGGCCGGGATCAGCAGGCAATTTAATACAATTACAAATTTGTGCTACACTTCAGATAAACACCAGGCAACATAAACAAGAAGCCGGCAAGAAGAGCAGGCACCGAACTCACCTGCAAGCTGGCTATCTCGGAGCGACCTGCCCGCCGCCAAACGATGCTGGCCGGCGGATTGGCATCGGCCACGCAGCGCAGGACCAGCGCATCCTTGTCCTCCTCCAAGTCGATTTCCGGCGAGCCAATTAGACGGATGCTCGGCGCGTCTGCAAGGAAACAGCAAGAGCAATAGAAATACAAACGGAGACGGAGACGGAGACGTTCAACTTGGCTTCGCAAAACAAAAACAGCAATGCCAACTATTGCAGAAACAGCAACAGAAACTGAAACAGAAACTGAAACAGCAATTGAAACAGCAATGGCAGCCGAGCAAGCAGAGTCAACAAGCCGGGCAAGTCCTGCTCCTGCTCCTGGCCACGTCCTTTGGGACAAGTCAACTCTTGAATTGCTCAGCAAAACAGGAAATTACGGCAAATTGTTGTTAATTTAATTGTTACAGCTCTCAGTCTCCGGTTCGGATTGGGGTTCTGTGTGCTGTTTTTGCTTTGCTTTCCCTTGGACTTTAAGCCAAATCGAATGAAGGCGCTTTAGTTGGCCAGATTCAGATTTCAGACCAGGATGCTGGTGTATCGCCTATCGTTATCGCAACACTCACATTTCACGTCCAAGCGCGCCTCCACCACCACCGATTTGGCCGTGTAGGACTCGTGGAAGGCGGCGCACCGCAGGATATCGCCGTGGCGCTCCCGCATCGCCGACACCTGCACCACCGAGGTGGCCGACCAGGTGCGCGGATTATCCGGCTCGGTGGCGTTCGTCTGCGGGTGGATGGGCGAGATCTCCTGGTCGCCTGCGGGCGGGAAACAAATGCGAATTAATTAACATTAACAACAGCAGTCGGATAACAACTGCAATGGGGTTACGCTTAATAGTGCACTTTAAGAAAATTATTTTGTGTAGTTGGGAACAGAATTTATCTAGGAATTATCTCAGCTTAAAAATAACTAGAACAATGTAGAAACTACCGAAATACTTTTCTCTATATTAATTGTAATAAACTCATTAGCTTTTAAGCATTGTTTTAGCTTTGTTATATTTCTTTTATAATTTACTAAATTTTAAGTAGTTTTTCTGTTTGATTTTTTTCTGTGTGTAACCCTCGTTCTCCGACTTTAAAGTGCAAACATTTTGATGCGTGTGAGCCAGAGGAATGCATGTCGGGCACTCACCCAAAAACCATTTGAGAGTGGCCGGCGGATTGCCGTAATGCGAGACGCACTTGACCGTCGCCAGAGCGCCGGCGTCTGCGGTGATGTTGTGTCCTGGCGGCACGTGTACCGCCTCGTACTCGAGCCTCGGCCGCTGCGGCGCCACTGCAAGCAGAAGAAGGGGAATGTCCTTGGCAATTAAGTCTCCGAATGCATGGCGAGTGGAGTGAATGGAATGGCGAATGGAGATCGAATCGATTTGGGGCACTTACCACGTACGACGAGGCGCACCGGCTGGCTGGTGAGGGCGTCCTGGGTGGTGAAATCACTGGCCGTCACTTGGCACTCCCACAGTCCGTCGTCGAAGTCCAGCGTGGCCGAGCGGATCCACAGGGAGCAGTCGCCGCCGAGCTGCACCGGCGGAGGATGGAGGTCCAGATGCAGGACATTCCCGTTGTCGCTCGTCGGCAGACGTGAGGCCCATTCGTATTTCTTGGTATAGATGCCAACGGGCTGTGGGGAAAAGAATAGTTTGGTTTAGTTCCACTGGCAGAAAAAAGAATCAACAATATGGGTTGTAAGTTTATACATTTAATATGTTCAATGCTCTCTTTTGTTGTTGCGATTGATTGTCAGGAATGAAATGGTTTTTATTGGTTCCTTAATTCTGTTTTTAAACAATAGTGCTTTATTTTTTTTTCAGTGAGTGGTTAGGGATGAAATGGCAGTGATGGCGTTGAAATGAACTGGGCGTCGTCTACGACATGTTTAGCATGTTTAACTTTTCGATGCAGTCAGGCGTCTAATTTGGTCTCCGATTTGGCCAAACATACACAGACAAATTGGCGAGCAGACAGACAAATCGGAAAGGAGCTTGGGGGCAGGAGGAGATATCCTTCCCCCGAATTCCACCGCCCAGTCCACCCACAATCACCTCCTCCTCTTACTCCTTCTCTGCCCACGACTACGTGTCATTTAACTCCGTTTTCAGTCGTCGTTCCAGTCGCTTCTGTCTGTAAATTGGCATTAGTTTGTTTGCTAATTGGAAATTAAATTACAATTAGTGATCTCTGAGCGTGGCATCGTTCGCATTTAAGTATTTATGGGAACTGCCCCGAACCCCGAACTCCGATTCCCCGAAACAGAGCTGCCTAATTGCATTTCGGCTTTGAGTGTTGTCTGCGTTGTTCGTGGCGTAATGGGTTAAATTAATTGCTACATTGAATTTGTGCCATGGCCGGCAATCGCTTAAAAGGAGCATTCAAATTTATGGAAAGAAAACCGAACAAAGTGCAAGAGTATAATCTAATCTCCTTGGGAATGCCATTAGATATTTATTGCTGTTTAAATTTGCGCAAATGGCCACAAATGCAGTTTGTTTGTCCCGACCCGATAAAATACGAGTAACGTGTGACATGCATCCGAATCTAACCACCTTGAGTTGACTGGCTGGCTGGCCAGCATAAATAGAGTATCTCTGGTTTATTAAACAGCTTGCGGCTGGCATGCATGTCAGATGGCCGAGATACGATTCCACTTGACTCCGTTGACCTCAGGCCGCAGGGAATAATCAATGCTGGGTCGCCGGGCGCCAAGGGTTAAGTTTAGTTTGGGGGGCCTTGCGGTAACAAAAGATATGAGCTCAATGGGCGACTGGGCTGTTAGGATGCCAGAATGCCGAGCTGCCAGGAAAACAATTTTCAGCCGGGAGATAAAAAATCAAACCGAACAAATATTTGGCTCTGGCCCATTGATGCTGCTGCTCTTTCTGCCAAAACATTCTCGAATCCTCCAATCGATATTCGTATCGCCATAATTCTCCGCATATTCAAACATCGAACTCTAAACTGCAAGCTGTAAGCAACAAAGTCGAGGCAAAACTCCGGAGTTTTAGCCTGCGCATCCACATTGTTGAGCATTTTTTTTTTTGTTTGCCTGGGAAAAAATGTGCGATGCCCAAAAATTACATTTATTCAAATGGCTGAGCTCGGTTGTTGATATCATACTCGAATACTCTCCATTTGTGCTTCGGCATTATCAGGAAATGCACTGCAAAGAAAACACAGATGAGGCATGAAGAGAATTGAAAATATCTCGACAGACATCCTTTGGCTAAATTAGAATGCAGCTCGGGAATGGACAAAAACCCTTCTCCTCCTCTGGATTTTTTGGGGACAAACGATTGCGAATGTCGCTTCTTATGATAACTACACGTATAATATATGGACACAGAACTATATACCCAAACGGAGGAAATTGGGAAACGTTAAGCACACATAGGGAAAAAGGAGGGGAACTGGAAGTGGAATAAGTATGCAAAAATAAGAGGAATTTTAAATGAAGCCCGAAACAGCAACATCAGCTTGTTTGTGTGTGTGAGACGCTCGATGCATGCAAATGTTGTTTGCCCTCGTCCTCTGTACTTCGTCCTTCCTACTTCGTCCTGCGCTTCCTCTACTAGTTCGAGTTCGAGTGGAGAGACACAAAGCATGTAAACATTTAAGTATGTGATGCAGAGCGGGAGATGCGCAGCATATGAAAAAGGACATTTGAAATGCTTTCTGATTTTTGTCATACAATGGCGTCGGACCCCTGAAGTCCCAGCGTGCATTTGCATAAGCAACTACCACAACAAGTGGCGAGTGGGGAGCGGAGAGCTGGAAGCGGGGGGCACCGCGCAGGGTGGCAAATAAAAGTTATCCTTCAAACGCACACAATTGCCATGAATAACAAAGGCACAAAACATTCCCGGTCCAGCTTGAAATATATTCCGCCTTAGGCAAACGACTCAAAATTCCGCTGATTTGAGGAAGCGGATATGCGTCTTTCTCTGTAAAGCTATTGACTTTTTCGACAATCCTAAACAAATTCTAACTTTACCAGGTTTGGTAACCATCACTATAGGGAAGATAAGCGCTTTCCGATTCTTCAATTACGCCCATTTGCAACATCCTGTCAATTTCGGCGTAGCATACTCTTCTCAACAGCTGGCGACACTGGAAAGTGGCTGTTTAATCGGCTTCGCTCCACCCACATCTATTGCGCCAGGTTGGTAAATTCGTTTTTCCAAGTCCTTCCTGCGTGAATGACGGGAAACAATTGCAATGACATTGTAAGCTTTGCTTTTTCCTCAGCAGACAAGTGATGTTGATCAACTTCGACCTTGCTGCTAGCTTCGATAGTAGTTTCTAACTCTGATATATTAAGGTTTTGGGAGAAGATCATATAGTCTCCAAGAATCTATGCCTAAATAAAGATCATGTTTCAAAAAGACGGTACTAGGTAAATATTTAAAAGGTTTTCTCTTGTCTCCATATTCTACACGTCAATTTCCATTCTTCCTACTACTTTCAAGGGTCGTCCATCTGCTGTTTGGCTTTAATGTTTAATGGCTTGTATTCAGTATCATTCGCCCATAACTATGTTTAGCTAGATCTCCTCCAATACAACTTATTGAGGCCCTGAGTCCAGCAAACCAAAAACAGTACGGTCTAATAAATAGATCGGCAGAAATGGTCGTGGATCTCTTGATCCCGTAGGGAGAGAACAAATATATTTCCAGCCCGAGCCGGCAACATTCTGCCAAAACCTTTTAATTCTTTCCGGCGCTGCAGAGACTTACGGATTTCTAAGAGATGTTCAGAAAACACAGTAGGAGTTAAAATCTGGGTAACTTTTAAGTTTACAATGCAATGAAGAGCCGACATTGCTTTTGATACGTCCGGGAAGTTGGTGATGCGACTAATGGTATTCATCTGATCGGTCATAGTTGATTAGTGACGGAGGCATTCAAGTCTTCGGTTTGAACTGCGACTTCAGACTGCCGGGCTTTAAGTTTTTTGAGCATAACGCAGTTTGGCTTATAGGTGTTAGCGGTTCGCAACCGTAACAAAATACGCGCTTCTCTGATAAACATTGGTATCTGTACTTGCCTTCTTTGCGGCAATTCCAGCATACCAAGGAAAATGCGATCCACCTCTAATTCACTTTCGGATTCGGACCCATTCTGAGAATCTGGCTCTTGAATAAATGTCTGAGACTTCTCGTCTAAACGGTGTGTTTTTACTGTGGCTCCGTGAGAGCGTTTGACATCGTCTAGAAAAGCTTCGCGTCGACGACAAGTTTCTCTCAACTCAGATACTGAAGAAATGTCAACATTCAACAATTCATGGCGTATTTCGGGTCTCAAATTGTTTTTGAGGAATTCGGACAAGTTTTCTCGGCGACCATGGTACTTCTAACTGATCGACTAATACGTTTACACTATCGTAAAAACTATCAAAAGATTCATTGGGCTTTTTGTTCGGCTCTGATTAACTCTTCTACATCAATATCGTCCCTTTTTGACGAAATTGCAATCGCAAGGCAGAACATAATCTATCCCAACGTACTTCGGTTACCGATTTATGGTAACGCCAATAAAATTCGTTGGCTTTGCCCTCGAATAAGACGCTAGCATTTCTGCAAAAGCACTGAGAAGTTGCCTTCAAGTGTCTGATGCGTCAGCGCTTCGACTCTGTAAATAAAATTGTCTATCGATACACACCTGATCCGGAATATTTTTATCTTCCATCCATTCAAGGATATGCACGACCTTGTCAGGTCTATTTAAGAGATCAGAAGGGATACTTCTATATGAGAACTTGGAGAACCTAAGTTAGGCGCTGACAAAATTTGTGTTTTGGATATGTTCATTGCCAGAAAATTGGTCGGTCTAAGGGTGGTGGAGTAGCTGACCTATCTCTGTCATTCGCATTGGAGCTAGATGGAGGGGAGATTAATCTCTGAATACTGTCACTCACTGAAGTTTGTATTAACTCAGTCATTTCTCTGACAACACTGTGAGCAGTCTTCTAGCTCCATTGAGGTAACGTCATTGCATTAGCAACATTAGCTGAATCATCCCTACTGCTACTACTATGAAGCGCCTCACAATGACCGCCAGGGACGTTTTCAGATATATTTCTATCATCAATACTTTCTGTGCCACGACTTTTAGATTGGGATCGCGTTGTAAACCTTTACTCTCGGCTGCTGGCCTGCAAGAAATTCTGCACTGCTGGACGAAACTTTCACTTTTCTTCAAATGTGCCTCAATACATTTCTTGTAAATTCGTGATGGCATACAGTTTCAAATAAATCGGTTGCTGCCTTAATATCTGCTTTACATAACGGACAGACTGGCTTTTGCACCTCCTTGTGGAATAAGTATGCAAAAATAAGAGGAATTTTAAATGAAGCCCGAAACAGCAACATCAGCTTGTTTGTGTGTGTGAGACGCTCGATGCATGCAAATGTTGTTTGCCCTCGTCCTCTGTACTTCGTCCTTCCTACTTCGTCCTGCGCTTCCTCTACTAGTTCGAGTTCGAGTGGAGAGACACAAAGCATGTAAACATTTAAGTATGTGATGCAGAGCGGGAGATGCGCAGCATATGAAAAAGGACATTTGAAATGCTTTCTGATTTTTGTCATACAATGGCGTCGGACCCCTGAAGTCCCAGCGTGCATTTGCATAAGCAACTACCACAACAAGTGGCGAGTGGGGAGCGGAGAGCTGGAAGCGGGGGGCACCGCGCAGGGTGGCAAATAAAAGTTATCCTTCAAACGCACACAATTGCCATGAATAACAAAGGCACAAAACATTCCCGGTCCCCGTGCCTCCGGCTGATCCATAATGAGGCCACTTTGGATTGGTATGCAAACGACCTCGGTCGAGCTTCCAGATCAACTCCCCTCCCACAATCGCCACAACAATCGGTCAGACACAACTATAAGCCAGGACGGACACACATCCCATAACATATTTATATATCCTATTGAACGGCGAAAACATGCATTTTGTGAGCACAATAACAGAATTTCCAGTCCCCCTAGCTTTGCCAACTCCAATTCGAATTCAAAGCGGCATACCTTTAAACGTTTATGACGGAGTTCTTAAACGAACTGCGTTTAAATTTTTCTTTTTGGTAAGTTTTATGGTTCGCCAATAGCAGACCAATTTCTTGAGGTCCACAGCCCCTAACTTTGCCAATTTTACCTTTAAATGTTTGTAATCGCATCCTGAAAACAACTACATTCAAAATATTCCTCTTTCAGATGGTCGATTTTTTACACCTCTGCATGTCAGATTTTTCCAAGTTATCAAATATTTTGTCAATAGGAGACCTAATTTTCGAGGTCCACAGATCATAACATTGCCATTTGTATACCAAAGTGGGATACCTCTAAATTCTTGTGATGCAAATCATAAACGATCTGCGTTTACAATTTTCCTTTTGTTATGGTTGAGTTTCAAGCAAATACTTGTTTAAAAAAGTAAATTTTAAAAATCAATACGTAGACCAATCATCAAAGGTAATAGTTTTTAAGTTGGATTGGTGACATTATTGTGTAAAAATGTTCAAAGGTTTTGAACAAAATCATACCCGAAACGGTTAAAGTTTTAAAGCGATATTTAGTTGAATTTTTTATGGCTGAAGTGCAGCGCGAAACTAGGATCAATTGGGATTAAACAAAATGTGGCTATAAAAAGTTGGCATCATGACAACATAAACAACATAAACCAAATCAATTAAAACAATAGAGGCTGATTTTTTTGCAGGATCAACTGCTGAAATGGGGGCCAAACGATATTTTCATGTTTGCGCTGGCATGAAATCCAATTGAGCCGACCATTCCCTTAGTCCTTTGCTGTCACGCACTTTCGATTAAAAGTTACGCCGGCCAATGTTCTAATCAACGGCGAACAAAGGCAGGCTGTCTGGGGTGTTGTTCCCATGTCCTGTGACCCCTGACCTCTGACCCCCGCGTCCCGTGTCCACGGGCAACTTTCATTATTGACTCGTCCTGGTCAGGGTGTAAATTACATTCGCCACATGTGGAGGCCAAAAGAACAACACTTAATTGAACCGCAGGACGCGCCACGCATATGATATGAGTTTTCTAGCCAGGACACGTCGGTGTGCGTGTGTTTGTGAGTTGGTGTGCGTTGCGAACGAAGTTCACTTGTTTGTGCCGGGCGAGACTTTTCGGCCAAGTTATGAGTTTAATCAAAATGTTTATAAACTAAGGGCCATCGATAGATGGGTCCCGTGAGCTGATATAATTACCTTGTTATCCTTTTGCCAGGAACACGTGCCGCGCTTGTCGATAACTTTGCATGTGAGCAGCGTGTCCTCGGCGGGATTCACCTCCGTGTACTTCGGCTGCTCGGAGAATCGCTGGAAGCCCTCGATTCCTGCAACGGGGAGAGGAGGGTAAAAGAAATGGCGGTGAGTAAATGTCGAGTGGCATGGCAAATGGGAAAAGTGAAATGCTGGCTCTGTCATTAACATAAACTACTTCCGCCGAGGGTTCCGGCTCAGCCCGCTGCGCATGTAAGTATGCTGCGATTCCGTAACCCTTCTACGGAATCGCTGGCTGCATTTGTCACGCCCCCCACACCAATACAGCCTCTTAGCTCACCCACACACACACACCCATACACTTTTGCACCGGGAACGCGGGCAATTATGAACGCTTCACAGAATGGCGGCCATTTGCTTATCTTCGCACTCCCCTTCCTTCCCCCCATCTATATATAGTATTTATATATATATATGTGTGTGTGTGTGTGGGTGAGGGTTTCTTTCATTATCATTTGGCCGCTCCCTGTTCCTTTTTTATTTTATTTCTGTACGCGCAGCGGAGAATTTATGTTAATTGCTGGCATGTTGAATATTTTCTCCGCACTTGCACTCAATTACACCAATTACAGGTTGAAAATTACACGCGCTGCTTGCTCAAGATAATGGATGTGGGTCTGTGGGCGGCGAAGGAGGGCGTGGTCCACAAGTTTGGGTTGCCTAATGATAAGGGCTCCGAGAACCGTAAGAACCTGCTGAGACATTCCACTCACCGACAAACATCCAGGAGCGACAGGCGTATTATTAACCATAGTGGCTCTTTGAGCGAGCTCAAGGTAATTGTGAAGAAATACCTCTTGGGAAGAATGTATTAAAAAGATAAATACCTTTTCACAAGATTAAAAAAACCTAGATCTTCTACCCTTCTACCTTATCTTCCTATGGAAACAACCGAATTTGTTTAACTTTAATTTAATTCAAAATCTATTTCCTTTAATTTCCTTTTCCTAGGTAAATAAGTCATTCAGTTGGTCAGCAGGTTGTGGCTTTGGCTTTGCTTTTAGCCTGCTATCAAGAGGTCAAGGATTAATTGAAGCCTTTTGGCTTTTTAATTGCTGTTTGCGTAGCCAATCCGCACTTGTCATCGCTCACAATGGGCCACCGTCGCTTTTCGGCTTTTGTTTGGCTGTCAACTTGAGTTTTTCCTGCGTGCTTGGCCACTTTTCCAGCCACGCGAGTATGAATGTGTTGGGTATAAAAAATCGAGTTGGCCTTATTGCGTGTGTCGGCCACACGTGACTGCCAAACACCGCTGGGCAAACAAGTATTTATATATATATACTCGTAGTATGTATGTGTATAAATGGGTGCATGGGTGCTTGGAGGCATTCGCTCACGCAATGATTTATTACGCGTGATTGGCGTGATTGCCACTTTGCTACTTAGTATCAACTCGACGCCGGTTCCGCTTTTATCGGGCTGCGTATAAAGGGGGCTTTGTATTTCAATTATACAGCCGAGTTACCCAACTTTCGCTCTGCCTTTTGAGGGCTGATTTATGCGGCATTTGCTTATGAGCCTTGTGCTCGAGGAATTCCTGGAGGGCTGCTTAATTTCTGCGTGACCAAACGGGCGCCGGCCCACTTAATTGAAACGCATTGGAATGCAAAGACTTGCCCCAGCCGGAAAACAACTGGCAAACAAAAATAAAGCGCTGCCGCAACAGCGAAAGTAAATACGCCGGAGCGAAACCGCCGCAGCCTATTTGCAGGGCAAATAAAAATATTAAAAATAAATAAGCAGCGGCAGCAGCAACAGCAGGAGCAGCGAAATTCGAGCCTTGGCAAAAGGAGAGTCGTAAAGGACAAGTGCCGTCCCAGCTGCGAAAGTCTCCTCTCAGCCTCCCAGTCGGGGCAAATAGACAAGGATCCGTGTTCCGGAGCCAGCTGCGATTGCAGTTTTAGCTGCCCGGACTGCTCCACTTCTCCGGGTTCGGGTTTGAGTTCGGGAGTCCGGGAATCCCGGGCTTCAAGTGCGTGCCGCTGAGTGCCGCTTATAGGATTGTTTCAGCTCCTGCAGCACGGCTCGTGCCGTGAAGTGGCGTTGTTGTTTAGCCTGCTCCTGCTGCTCCTGCTCTTCCCCCTTTGCTGTCCACGCTTTAAGGGCTTTACGTGCCTGTGCACAGCCAGCAAGGATAACAATTACTCTAGTGGCGTGTCCACCATTTTGTGTCTCGCTAACTGCTGATTCCTCCCGCAGATACCCTGCACTGCTGGCCAATTGCTTAATTGGAACTCCTAAAAGCGGGTTTTTCAAAACATGTATTTACTTAAAGTCCTATGTAGACTAACCTTTTAACAGAGCTTAGGGCTTAACAACTTTACTAAGCAGCTTGTAGGTTGTTTTCTAATGGAAAAAGCTAGCTTAAATAAAACAAGAAAGGAAGCTAGCTTCGGCAAGCCGAAGCTTATATACCCTTGCAGTCATCAAATATGTCGAACAAAACGCATAAAGGCTAGACAACATCGAAGCTAAGACGATTTTTCTATTCATTTTCCATATTTTCGACTATAGATCATATGGGAGCTATATGATATACTTGTCCGATTTTGATCAAATTTAATTCGTAATTCAAGAGTCGTAAGAAAACTCTATATTCCAAAAATCATGCTTGTCTGATAAAAACAACGATGTTATAATTTTATTTCCATTATTTCTATATAGATTTTTCGATCTTTCCTATGGCAGCTATAAGATATATATGACCGATTTTTATGAAACTTTTTTCTCAATTTTATATCGTTGTTAAAAAACTTGATATTCAAAAATCATGCTCGTGGGATAAAAAACAACGATGTTATCAATTTATTTCCATTAATTCTATATATAATTTTCGATCTCTCCTATGGCAGCTATATGATAGAGTTATCCGATTTTGTTCAAATTTAATCCGAAATTCAATAACAGTTAGAAAACGCCATCTTAAAGAAATCAAGTCGATCTGATCAAAAACAACAGAATGAGAATTTTTTATTTAATTCTCTTGTATTGGAGCTATCCGATATAGTCGTCCGATCCGGCCCGTTCCGACTTATATACTGCGTGCAACAACTACACATCTTTTGGGAAAGTTTCAGCACGATAGCTTTAAAACTGAGAGACTAGTTTGCGCGGAAACGGACAGACGGGCAGATGGACAGACGGACAGACGGACAGACGGACAGACGTACATACATATTTCGATTCTGCTCGTGATGCTGATCAAGAATATATATACTTTATGGGGTCTGAGGTGTCTCCTTCACTGCGTTGCAAACTTCTGACTGAAATTATAATACCCTTTTGCTCTGCAAGGGTATAAATATTTGTTTTGAAATACATTTTTGGAGAGTATAATATTGGAGTTGTTTATTTTCAATGGTTTAGCAACTAACAACTGTTTAAATACATTTCACTGGTTTTCTTTTTTGTTCCTCTGTTGTGCTGGTCCGAATTTATAGTTGCCCCCGCTGTCCGGTTTCCGCTTTTCCGGCCCTTGTCGCTCTCCAATATGTCAGACGCACATTTTTGAGTACCGCCCCCTCCCTTGAACCACCTCCCCCTCTCCAACCCACTTCCTCCCTCTTTCAAGCTGTCTAGTGCCGAGCTGCTTTTGCTTTTGCTTTCGCTTTGCTGCTGCTGTTTACTTTTGATGATGCATTGCAGCGTAATAATTTCACGTAGACGTCCACGGCACGCAGCCAACGACAAATGGCCAGGGGAACTACACTCTCAAAAAATATACATACTAGTTTTCCCCTTTTTCATAACCCAAAAAACATATACTAGCAAGAAAATATCTTCTTAAAATATCTTCCAGAAAGAAATCATTATTTTCGGTACAAGAAATAATATCACGAAAAATAAACTATTTTTTAGAGTGTACCCAGCGGGCCAAAATCAAGTGGGTCAACTGGTCGCGGCCCTGAGCTCTTAGCAGCTGGTCAGTTATAAAATGCTGTTTGGGCTCTTCAGCTGCCGGCCCACAGCGACATTACTCATACGCAACGTGGCCCAGGGATTTTGCTCCCCAGCAGTTTAACTTTTGTGTATCACGAAGAAGCTGGCGGAAATTTAAGAGAAATTCCCCCCGGCAGTCAAGGTGCTTTGAGCGCCCATTCACACACTCATCCCGGCCACGCCCACTTTTCACCCACCGGAGGTGCCACACAAGGTCCCCATTTCACCTCACTCACTTCGGCTTTGTCGGCAATCAATGAAAGCAATTTGTGAATCTCTTGTGCAATTCGGCGACACACAAACGAGCTCAAGGGCACCCACACACACAAACACATATACACACATACACACAGATAATATCCTGGGAGAATATCCATGGGAAAGAAAGGTATTGGCAGTTGCGATGAAAAATCTTGTATGCAAATCAAATATGCAAGATGATTTGTAAATTTCTCCAAATGTATTATACAAAAAGCCCAACAAACGAGAGTCCCCTCCTTGCGATGGAGCCGCAACAACAGGATTCGCCGGCTTAAACTTTTTAAACCTGTTCCGCATCATCGACCCATCCGACGCCTTTCCTCCTTTCCCTCGAAGGTGCTAAGCAAACATGCAAGCTGTGAGGATTATAAAAAGTAGCAGCCAAAGAAGGCGAAAAAGGATAGCCCCGACAAACAGCCACCACCCCAAAAAAAAGGAGAATAAAGAAAGGCAGCAAACAACCCCCGTTTGGATCCCATTTCCCCATCCGAAATGCTCGCATGTGCTAAGCTTTTTGTTGCCGCCTCAAAACTGCTGCCTCTTCACTGCGAAATCCTCGCCCAACCGCCTACTTAGCCATAATGATATATTTAGCTTGCCAAGTGATTGTTATTTGATATTCAACAGATTTCAGAGCTCCTCTCCTTTATTTTTTCGGATGGAGGTTAAATCGATGCGTGCTTGTACTGTTTCATGAGTTTGCCAACATCCATGAGCGGTGATTCGGACTTAGGTTGCTGTCCCGGTCAACGCTGCCTATGCGTAACGCCTGTCAAGTGCCAGCTGACCAGTCAAATGCATGTGGATAGTGGACAGTGGATAGTGATTTGCAAAGCCCTCTTCAACTAGCAGATGGCAGATAGCAGATAGCAGATAGAAATCCCCCGGCATTTTGGGACAGACAATGAGTGACACGTTTTATCGCTTAAATTTTTCATATTTTCATAGCTCATTGACTGTCGGGCGAAATGGCTCGGAACGGTTCAACCTGCTTACCCTTGCCCCACTTTTCCCCCTTCCCCGCTCTTCCGCTTTTCCGCTTTTCCACTTTCCTTGTTGTTTGACACTCGAAGTTTATGCATTTATTTGTAGCAGGCCCGGGTCGTTGATTTATTGTATTGTACTCGCTGCCATTGTAATATTTGTGTCTGAGTGCCCCACTCGAACGGTGTGTGTGTGTGTGCTGGTGTGTGTGTGTGTTTGCGAATTCATGTGGCAGTCAAGTAGGAAAAGTGGGCACTCGAGCTTATGTATGTAATTTTTATATAATTCCTAGGACCGCCTTCAACTGCAGTCGTAGCAAAGTTTCATTTGCTTTTATGGCCCACTTAGCACCATTAATGTCTATGGCCATCGATCACGAAACTGAGGATTGCGTTTTAAATCCAGAAAGCGACCCACCATCACCCCCACTACCACAGCGAATTGGTGGCCCATATTTCCCGGCGTGGCACTAAGCCCCTCGCACGGCTCGCTAAATATGCAAAAAGGGGTTTTACCCGGCAGGATTTACCTGTCGCATGCGAGGCAATTAGCAGCGAAAAGCGAACTGGACAGCAAAAGGATCCCAACTGGCCGATAAAGCCCATTGAAGTTGTGACAAATTCGCGGCAGTAACAATTCATTTAGATAAATCAGCCGGAGCCGGACAAATGAAGCCATTACCGCGGCACACTCGTGGCCATAAATAAGACATTTAAAGGAGGCCTAGCCCAAGATCTGGACTTCTCCACACTCCACACCCACTTCGGTGCAAGGAGAGTCAAGTTGGGCCACTTGGGCAACAGTTTGTGGCCATGACAAACAATGACACTCGATTTCCGGGCCAGGTCAACTCGGTTGCTTATTAATTAAACTGATTAAATTGCACGTTGCGTGTGGCTGGCACTTCCATTGATTGCCCACCAATCACCAGTCACATTCGAGCTGAGAACTTGCCTCGGCCAGGAGAAGCAGCACTTTGTCCGAATTAATGCCGCCTGCCAAAGTTGTAATGCCGATAATCAGAGTCGCATAATAATAATAATAATCTCAATCAAAGCGAAGCGAAGGCAGGCGCAAATTGAATTATTTCATTAGGAGGCGAGTGCGGCTGATGTTTGCTGATGATTTGGCTTTTGATTGATTGATTAGATGCCAGGCCAGCAGTTTAGGCCAGGTCATATCAGGAAAGCTCTCTCTTTTGAAGAGCTGCCTGCACTCCATTATCCTAACTGGTTGCATAAAATGTGTCCCATCCGGATCTTTCCGCTCTTTCCTCGTTTTGCATTCAGCCAGGACTTGAGCACGTTGTCCCCATCCTTTAGCAAAACTCCCTTCTCCCCGCGGCTGTTCACTTTGTTGCTCGTCTTTTGCAGGCACTTAATGCGCCGTTCCCACCATCCAGCCATCCAACCACCCACTCTGCTGCAGAAAACAATGGAAAGTGGGAACAGGGCGAGCGGAATGACAAGCAGACACAGGCGAATTTCAGCACGGAAGCGGAAGTCATTGTTGTCGCACAAAGGCGAACGCGTCGCAATTATAATAATTTTGATTGCACGCCGCCTGCCCCGCCAGCTTGTTATGTTCGTTGTGATGGTGGTGGTGGTGCAGTGGTGGTGCAGTGGTGTTGCATTGGTGGTGCAGGATCTGCATAATGCAGACTCCCCGGGATGAGGGCCACACGTGCCTCACTTTTGTGTTTGCCCGTCGCTTTTATGGATTTTTTTAATTACGAGTGCTAGACACAGAGTCCGATGGTTGGGGGAAAATCAGAGTGGAGCAGTGGCATCATCAGCAGCATCATCCTCTCGAAGAGAGGACCGAGCATCTCCCATTTGTTGGCAATACCCAACTAATTAGCTACACAAATAAGCAATTAACTGGGTGGGGGCTGTCGGTGGTCACTTAATTACACAAATTATTTGCCACAAAAACCTCAAGCTCGGAGCTCCGACTGAAGTGCACTCAAGGACATGCAGCTAACAAAGCAGTCTCTATGTAGCTATGTGTAGCTGTAGAAGCTTTGAATGTGTGGATTTGCGAGAGTGGCTGCTTGGTCAGCAGTTTGACCAGCAGAAAGAAAGGAAAACAATTTTCTTGAAAGCTTTGATTTGACTAAGTAAACTGGAAAATCCCGAGGAGCCACACAAAACGAGCGAGGAGGAGGAGGAGAAGGAGCGAAGGCGGCGAAAGGATACAGCAGAATGAAGAGACAACTATCATTTGCTTTTAATTTGACTCGAGGGCGTAATTAAAGAAAAATGCCAAGCCAAGCCAAAGTCCTTTGATTGTCGGCCCGAAGCAGAAAGACCGCCTTGCCAGCCAGCTCCTTTCTCCTTCCTCCCGGCTGGAAATGCAAATCAGGACCGGCTCAAGCCAACTCTCTGCCAGGGAAACAAACAGGGAGCGCAGATGGATTTGGCAGGAGGAGAGGCCAAACAAGAGAGAGCCGTAATTCGTTAATTGTTTTAAGAAAACAGGCTGAGACTGCATGTCTTGAAGGACATAAATCCCGTTTAACCTGACGCTGCAAAGCCAGACGAACTGAGCGGGGAAAACAGGGGAAGGGAACTGCTGGCACAGTCCTCCAGCTAACACATAAATTCTGCTCCTTTATTCCAGTTGCATAACATGTCCTGCGACACCGACAAAAAACACAGTGAAACCACCCGAAGACAGACCGACAGACGTGTTATATATAACGGCAACTTTTGCTGCTGACTTGGCTAGAGATGTGTTAAGGTAAAGAAGTGATCGAATGGAGAATACCCATTAAATATTATTTGATATTGATACCATAAACAGCATCCCATAAGTAACAAAAATGTTTGAGGGGATAATTTTTGATTTAAAATTCTTCTTTATATAGTATAATTATAGTTATAGCTAATTCCCAAATCGAGCATACCCTCTCTTTGGTTACCAGTAATGTGCATGTGTTAAAAAAAAGTGTCAAAAAACTAACAAGTTTAAATAGTGGAAGAGAGATTCCGGGGAGTTGGGGAGTTGAGGATGCAGACGAAGTTATGCAAAGTCAGCAGAGGACATTGACATGCGAGCAGTTATGTGTGTGTGTGTGGGGTTTTTGTGTGTGTGTGAGTGTGATTCAATTTGCAGTTGTGACAGTGCAGCCAGGAGCAGAGTGGCAGTCGCCCGCACCAAGGACTCGGCAGTCAAATTGCCATATTTCATCTATGACTTTTATGACTCTTTCTTTTATTTTCCAACACACTTTTAGCAGGTTCCAATTGAAGTTTTCAAAGGACAGTCCGTGGACTTTCGCATATTTTTGGCTGATGCCTAGGCAAGATTGCCCTCGATATCCCCGACGCACTGGGTGAAGTATTTCCTGGCCACTCGGCACTGCTCGCTGTCCACGAAAAACCGACTGGGGCACTTCTGCATGGCATGGATGCGCAGACATATGGTTATTTGCAGGGAGAAGGGGTTGCAGCGCTCCTCGATGAACTCAATATCCGGCAGGTGGAGAGTGAATTTCCCTCCGTGCCGAGATCGGAAAACCTCGCATTTCTTGTACGCATCCAGCAAAAAGTGAATCGATTCCAGCTGCGGATGTGGAGCGACTGACTTCAGGTTGATGGCGACGTTCACCAGATCCAATCGATAGGGTGGATCTATTTCAATGTAGCCGGAGCTGATGTAATTGCACTCCTCAATGCACTGTTTTTATAGTGAGAGGTATTGCAGATTCATTTGATCAACTTCATTTCCCTGCTCACCATATTTATCGTATATAGTTCGGCAAAGTTAAACTTTCGGTTGTTCGGCAAATGAAGACTTCTTCTACATTCTGCGTTGCCTTTATCCATGCTGGGTCTTGTCAACTGACAACAGTGGATTGATAAATCCTGGCGGGATATGTGAAAGCTGTATTATTTATGTGAGAGTTGTTTACCTTACATACTGCTGCTTTTTTTCTGTTTAATGTGCAATTTATTTCGCAGTTCATCAAAGAAATAAAGCAAATCATTAACTAAAAGAATAAGCCAGGATTAAATTAACTGGAATTTATTTTCAATTTGTTTTCTCTACTCACAAAAATGGAGAGAACCACCGAACAAGTTGACATTTTAAAACCAACTGGTATTCAAACTCGGTGCGTTTCAAATTAATCGCAAACCTTTACAATTAAGATGTGCTTAATTGACCAGAGGGGAATCAATTAATAAACACTGTTTTTGACACACTTGACAGACAGCTGAAAAAAAGACCCACCTTGACCCCATTTTCACACTCATGTGAAGCTGAGCTGACAAAAGTGCAATCCAATATGGCCTAGCCGCAGGACATCTTGATTAATTCGGTTGGCACGCCATCAGATTACGTATACGTCCCGTTGCCCGCCTCAAGGTCGAGCCGCGTGGCCCGCTGCGAGTTAATAAATTGTTTGGCGTTGTTAACTAAATTTTGATTACCCCGAAAAGGGCGAAGGGCAAGGTGAAGTGGGTGAAATGGGCGTGGGCCCACCGACACTCTTTTTTGATTTATTGATATGCTAATTGAGTATTTGCACGTTGGCCGCCTTGGTCCTTTTTTAATGGCTCAAAAGGAGTGCGTCGGCGTGTGGGTCGCGCTGCTGGCCATTGGAAGTTATGAGCCATTTGCATGGCAGCGTGTTGTTCAAATTAATTGTAAATGGTTGTAATTTGCTGTTGCCGCCATCGCCATCGCCAGCGCTCCGTTCGCTTTTCGCTTTTACAGTTTAATTGCAGCTTAAGGGGCGTAGTGGGCAAAGGGGGGCGGAAAGGGGGAGGGGCCGCGAACTCGGACCTTCGCGAGAGCAGCGGGCAGGCTTAATTAATTTATGGCCATGGCTGTGTGCCCTCCAATCCCCTCAGATCCCCCGCCGCTGCCTTCCTCTCTGCTTAAATACACGTCATTTGAAGTTTGAGCGTGTTTAACGTGACGTATGAGTGATTTATGTTGATGGAGTGCACATTAAGCGATGTTGAGGCAGTTAAACTGCCAAAGGGTCATCAATTGGGTTGATGTGCAAGGCCTTAAGTCGAGGCCTTGGCCTTCCTTTCCCTCTCCTCCGCAGATTTCTGCTGCGTTGCGTGCCCCGAATGTCCTTGCTAGTATCCGCTTCCCCTTTCTCTCAGTGTCTGCCTGCCAAGCGGCTTAGTTCGCTTTGTGAGTTGCCGATGGCCGTATAAATAACATGTTTATGTATAGCGAAGATTTTTGTGAATAAATGACGAGGCAAATATTTAAGCCCCCTGCTGACAACGTGTATCATTTGTGCCTTTTCCTCTGGGGACTTCTTTCATTATAATTAGTTAAATACTAGTGGGAAATATTAGGGGTTCTCCTGATTTTGGTTGCTTGGCAAGCTTCTGTTTACTAATTAAATAAGTATATGATAATCTATGGATACTCTATCCATAATATACATACAAATTAATAAAAATCAAATCAATGTTTTGTAATGAGCAAGAAAAACAGAAAGCAATTGAAGGAATTGTTTCTGTTTATACAAAATAAATTTTGATTTCATTAAAGAGCATTTCGTTGTTCGCATCTTTGTTTTTTGCCTTGTTTTCTCCCCCAAGTGCCGGTTAGTTTTGCACGCAATTTAATTATATCTAGAACATTCCCCCATCGCCAAGCGACCCTGCCTGTGTGTCGAAATTAGTAGGAAATTGTTAATGCGATAACAGATTTCCTCCAAAATGTGCACCACGTAAAGCTTCTTTTGGCCTGGTTGCCTGGCATCCGTGCAAAAAAGGGCCTAGCCGAGTGTGGGTATTTCCATTGTGCCAAAGCAGATTTAAGGTAAGTCCGACTTTAAGAGGAGCAAACTGGTTGCACGAGAACGGGGCGCATAAATCTTCGGTAGCTCACGGAAAGTGGAGCTCCGAAAGCTGAGCGCACGTTTGCAAGTGAGAGATTCCATTGAAAATGCATTTGTGGCCGAAAAAATTCGGAGGAGTGGGAAGGATTTCGTTGGGAGCTAAATTAAAGACGCAACTCACGTGGTTTCCGGCCAAAGGGGGCGGGAAGCTGTCGCCTTGGTCCGCACATAAATCAGTTTTAAATGCGTATAAATAAATTGGCCAGCAGGTGGGTGGTGGTGGTGCACTCCCAACCAAGAAGAGCCACTGCGAGGTCATGGTCTCCTTGTGGCGAGGAGCGCAACTCCCAGCTTAATCCAAGCACTCCGCTTCTAGAATTTATGCGCGCAGATTGCCAAGAGAGTGTAGAACAAGGATACACGAGTGAGTGTGTCGCCATGTTTGTCTTGTATCTTGGCTGCTTAGCGGCGACTTGGTTATTTATTTAAGCTTTGGGTGCACGGAGGAAAATTGGGTTTACTAGCTGTCGTTTTTATGATATAAATCTGGTAGGAAGCAGCCACAAAAATAAATGGTTACTTTCAGCTGCACACTAGCTTAAGTTGTTTGATAACTCTATTACTTTAAGCTGACTTAAAAATGCTTCTTACGAACATGAAGATGTTAAGAATCACATCCAAAAGTTTTCATTAATATGATGCAACTGAGCATAAATATTGTTTTTACCCGTGTAGAGGAGTCTCCCTTTGAGCGCCTCATCCACTTGGCTGCGTTTAATCAAAGGGGATTTTCATTGCAAAATTCAACTAATTTACTTTGTAACCATTTCGTTTTTTTTGGCAAGGCAATATTTGCCTTTTCACTCGCGAACATCCGAAGCGCCTTATTGAAATTTCATAGTCTAATTTTGGGCGCAAATTAAATTTTAATTACGCGCTCTTCCCCCGTTTCCCCCACCACATTCCCCTTCATCATCACCCACCATCAACATGGTCCTTTTCCATTTCTGGTGGGATGGCTGGCTGGCTGGCTTTTTGCAGCTCGATTGGCTTAATTGGAAACGCTCTCCGCACGAATCCTGAATGTGAGTGTGTGTGGGCAGCAGGCACTTTGATGCCTTTGACAACATTTGTGTTGGGTCCCCGGAACGCGTCATTAATTTTTAACCCTGCCCTGGCCATATTTCCACTCGTGGCAAACAAGATTAAACCATTTCCTCCTGGCACGCAGACATTTGGGCACCCCGATATAACAAATATACGAGTATGGTATATGCAGTGGAAAAGTTGTACTTTCGTACGCAAGCGAAACCAGAAGCCGGCAGCCAAAAAATAACCAAATTACCCGCTTTGCCCTGTTTGTGCAGCCAATGATAAGTAAGCCACAGGGAAAGGCAACACAACACACTAGACAGATGCTTTTTGCAGATGTTTCGGTTACATTTCATTCGGTTTTTGTTTACCATGGGATAGCAAAAAGGGGATTGCACTTCAGGAATTTTAGATTAAATTAATTTTTGTTGGAAGTCGTAAAATCATTGCATGCTGGTGTTTTTGCAGGGGGTTCGGTCAACTACCAGCTGCATTGCTCTTAATCAACTTTTTTCTATTGAATTAAACAAATTTGTTTCTAATTTGGGGCACACAGAATCCGGAGCGCACACATTGCCGCCTGGCCCTCAGCTGCAGCGCTTCGGCATTGGATCATATTTGCAGTAGTGACAGGTCAACATTTGGCTATTTGCAGAGCAGGAAAGCTGCAGCTGAAAGACAGCAGACACACGAACTTCATCAGCAAATTAAATCTTTGCTCTGCAGCTCAACAGCATGTGTGTGTGCACTTTCGGCACTTTTTTCCCAGTGTGCCAGTCATAATTACATCGAAATGGAGACACCGAGCGCCATGTCAGTTGCACTTCATTAAATCCGAAAAAAAGGACGGGAAATTATATGACAGAGCGGAAGTAAATATGCAAACTTTTTCAGCGTTCGACTAATGAATTTCAATAAAAGTTTTCCCCTTTTCCGCTGGCGCCATTGTTGAGCGATCTATCACGCATTTCCCGGCCGCGACGAATCCCAAACCGCCGAGACCCGCTTCCCCTGCTTCCCCCCTTTTCTCTCTGTTGACATTGACAAGTTGGCAGGCGGAGCGAAATGCAATCAATATCCAATATTTACATGTATTCCGTACCCCATTCCATGTGGAATGGCAGGGCAGGGGGCGAAATTGAAATGCAGCTGCAACATAAAATAGATGTCAATTCCGCTGCAGCTGACAACAAAACAAATTGAAAAGAAAATGGCAGCAGAACAGAGAGCAGAGCGCTCGGGGAAATGGACAGATAAGCGAACACACACACACCTTCGGTTTCCTCCCGCATAATTGTAATCAGTGTTTACAATCATTTGCGCCATTTTTCCCATTGAAACGCAGGCGGCGTCCAAAAGTATGCAACGCTTCACAAGAAGCCACCGCCACCGCATGCAACTCAATTGTAGGCTGACCCCTTACTCCTGACCCCTGACCCCAGACCCACAACATGTGTACGTAGTCGAAAAAATGGCGAAGGGGTAGGAATAACGCAGAGAAGCGCCGAAAAAGCCAGCGCCACTACTATGAAACAGCTTCAACATAAAATTTTACGAGTCGTTTACACAAATAGCAACACTGTTGCCAATAAACGTTGCTACCTCCCTTCTCCCCCTTCCTTTGCACCCTGACCCTTGACCCCACTCGCCGGCAGGACTTGTACCCTCCGCCCCCAACTCCTTTCCCCAGCGTCCAAGAGCGTTCGTTTTTGCAATTTTTATATTGTTCCAAAATGTTTTCGTTTCAACGCTTTTATATTTATTTTGTGCACGGGAAAAAATCGCTTGTAGCTGCCCCTCTTGCACAACACCAATGCAATGCTGCGGAATTGTAAGCGAAGGGTGAGAAGTGGTGTGGAGTGGAGTGTTCGAGTGTGTGTGTGTGTGTGTGCGTGTTGTGTTTGCTAAAATAATGGATTTTTATGCGCATTTGTTTGCACGATGTCGGCGACGGAAGTGGCGGCACAGGATGAATTCGGGGGAGGAGCGGGGGAAGGGGAGCGGATGCCGCCTCGAATGGCTTTGTTCTCGGCGGCGCATTCGCGAAAATGATTGGGAAAATCAGTAAAGTGAAATAGAACGAAAAAGAAACATTGTGCCAATTGTTAATCGAAGCTCAAATACGCTGAAAAGTTAAAATAATTGGTAAGAGCACAGGGTTAATTAAATAATTAATTTTATTGCCAGGTAAGTAGCTCAACATTTAAAGAGATAAAATTTGATTAAATAAAAATTAACTTATAAATAACATTTATGAAAAAGTAATATTATAATCTAGATTCTAGAATCATTGTACCCTGAAGGCGGTATTAATAGGAATAATAATTTAATAATAAACCA